TTGGGAAGGGCCTGGGGTGTTGGGCGCAGGGTCCGAGTGCGCTGGGGACGCATCCAATCAGAGTTAACAAATCCTCTGCGTGAATCCAAAAATCAGATTTGCCAAGGAATACTTTTTGCAAGCGGCGCTTGTTGTCAGCGTGAGGCGGCGCTCGTTTTCAGCGTGATCGTGCCCGCGTGGGATAGTAGTATGAGGAGGAGGGGGAGGAGGAGGAGGAGGAGGCGGAGGAGGAGGAGGAGGAGGAGGAGGAGGAGGGGAGGAGGAGGAGGAGGAGGGGTACTCGAACGAGTGAGCTAGGCGCCGCTACCAGGTGGATCCGTTTCTCCTGCTTCATTCTCCCTCTCGTCTGCGCTCCTCCCCTTTTTTTCCGCTTCCCCCTCCATTATTTCCCCGCTTGGGTAATGCTCAGCCAAATTGGCTACGGTGCGCCATGTTTGCTCCTCTCACTTCCATCTCCTCTCTTCTGACTTCGCTCATTCCCTACCTTTCCCTCTCTATTCCTCAGTTCTTTGCTTGCTCTCTTCCTCTTTCCTTGATTGGTCAAGTTTGTGCTAAAACGGGTACGGCGCGCTCAGCAGTTATCCTGCTCTCTCTCTCTCTTCCTCATACTTCTCGCAGTCCCCCTCGCACTCTTTCCCGCGCTCTCAGGCTGTCTTAGGGCTCTCTTGGGCTGCACCGTGTTTTTCCTGGATGCTTAATGGACTGTCTTGGGGGAATCTTGGGCAGGCTCTGGAGTGACCAGCGCAGGGACCGAGGGCGCCAGAGACGTGTCCGAAACCGGAGTGAAATGCCAAACGCTTCGTTTCCGAACTGTTTAGCATTTCACGAGGGTTTCCAAGTGGTCTGTGGCCATGGCGAGAATTTGGTGGGCGGTGTCTGAAGGCGCTGGGGCGACGCTCGGTTGATATGCCAGGGGTGGCGCTGGGAAGCTCTTGGGGCGATGTTTGGGAGTCTTGGATTCTGGGAGTCCGGGGGTCCGGACTTTGGGAGTCCAGGGATCCGGGAATCCGGGAATCCGGAATCCGGAATCCGGAATCCGGGAACTTGGCTTCCGGGAATCCGGAATCTGGGAAACAGGACGGATTTGGATGCCGGGAATCTGGGAATCAGGACTTTGGAACCCGGAATCCGGGAATCCGGAGATCCAGAATCTGGCATCCGGAATCCGGAATCTGGGAAACCGGGAATCCGGCATCCGGTATCCGGAATCCGGAATCCGGGAAACCGGATTCTGGAATCCAGAATCCGGGAATCCGGAATCCAGAATCCGGGAATCCGGGAATCCGGAATCCGGAATCCGGAATCCGGGAATCCGGAATCACGTTAGAGCCTGTTTTTTTGTTAATCCTCTAGGGCGCTGGGGATGCGGGGGCAAGAGGGGGGGGGGCAGGTGGTGTGCGTCGCGACGCGGAATAAAATGCTCGGGGCGGAGGGGGCTGTGGGCGGGGCTCCGACGGGGGCGCTGGGGATGCAGCAGGGAAAGGAAGGGGTGCGTCGCGACACGGAATGAAGCTTGTCGTGGCGGAGGGGGCACGGGGCTGGGCTCCAACTGAAGCGCTGTGGAACTGGGAAGAAGGGGGGCGGAGGAGTTGGTGCGTACCGCGACGCGGAATATAAAGTAGGTCGGCGCCGAGAGGGGGCCACTGGGCGGGGCCTCGGGCAGAGGGCCACGGGGGCCGGGGGCCCCGCACTTTCAGGGGCGCTGTGGGGACCAAGCGGGGGGGGGGAAGGGGGTGAAACGGTGGTGTGTCGTCGCGACGCGGAAAATAAAAATGCACGGGGCGGAGGGCGAGGGGGCGGGGGACCCACTGGGAATGCTGTGGAATAGCAGGGAGGGTTGGAGGGGCCACGGGGCGGGGGGCCCACTGGGGCGCTGGGGATGCGGGGGGAAGAGGGGGGGCAGGTGGTGTGCGTCGCAACGTGGAATAAACTGCACGGGGCGGAGGGGCTGTGGGCGCGTGCGTCGCGACGCGTAACAAAATGCTCGGGCCGGAGGGGGCTGTGGGCGGGGCTCCCGCGGGGGAGGAAGGGGGTGGGTGTGCGTCGCGACGCGGAATAAAATGGTCGGAGCGGAGGGGGCTCGGGGCGGGGGCCCCACTGGGGCGCTGGGGATGCGGGGGAAAGAGAGGGGGCGGGCAGGTGGTGTGCGTCGCGGCAGGTGGTGTGCGTCGCGGCAGGTGGTGTGCGTCGCGAAAAAAACGCGGAATAAAAGTGGTCTGGCGGAGGGGGGTGGTGTGCGTTCCGCGACCCGGAATGAAATTGGTCGGGGCGGAAGAGAGCGGGTGGTGAGGAAAGGGGGCCCGGGGCGGGGGTTCCCACTGTGGCGAGTCGGGGGGGCCGGGGAAAGAGGGGGGCAGGTGGTGTGCGTCGCGACGGTGAATAAGATGGTCGGGGCGGAGGGGTTGTGGGCGGGGCTCCGACGGGGGCGCTGGGGATGCAGCAGGGAAAGGGAGGGGGGTGCGTCGCGAAACGGAATGAAGTTGTCGTGGCGGAGGGGGCACGGGGCGGGGCTCCTACTGAAGCGCTGGGGACCTGGGGGAGGGGTTCGGAGATGGTGTGCGTCGCGACGCGGAATAAAGTGGTCGGCGCGGAGGGGTCATTGGGCGGGGCTCGGGGCAGAGGGCCACGGGGCGGGGGTTCCACTGGGGCGCTGGGGACGCGAGGGGGTGAGGGGGCGAGGTGGTGTGCGTCGCGACGCGGAATAAAATGGTCGGGGCGGAGGGCCACGGGGCGGGGGTCCCACTGGGGCGCTGGTATTAAATCCAGGGGGGGTGGTGGGGGTCGGGGAGGTGGTTAGTGCGGAGGAGAAGGTGTGTGCGTCGCGACGCGGGACAATAGAAACTGGTCGGGGTGCCCCGTAGGGGGTGGTGGTGCGAGACCGACGCGGAATAAAGTGTGTCGGGCCGGAAGAGAGAGGGGGCTGTGGCGGGGCTCCGACTGGGGCGCCTGGGGATAGCAGCCAGGGAAAAAGGGGAGGTGGCGTCGCACACCCCCCCGAAGTTGTCGTGCGGAGGGGCAGCCGGTTGCTGGGCTGGGAAGAGGGGGCGGAGGAGGTGGTGCGTCGCGACGGCGGAAGTCAAAGAGTTGGGTCGTCGCGGAGGGGGCATTGGGCGGGGCTCCGTGGCCCTAGTCTATAGAGGGCCACGGGGCGGGGGTTTTTACCACTGGGGGGGGGTGGAACGGAAAGCGGGGGGGGGGGGAGGGAGGGGGGGAGGTGGTTGTGCGGTCGCGAACGCGGAATACCAATGCTCGGGCTGAGGGCACCGTGGGCGGGGATCCCACTGGGCGCTGGGGATGCCAGGGGGGTGGAGGTGCCACCGGAGGGCGGGGTCCCAAAAAAACTTGGGGCCGCTGGGGAATTCTTGCGGGGGGAAGAGGGGGGGCAGGAGGTGAGTGTGCGTCGCGACGCGGAATAAAGTGGTCGGAGCTCCAGACACCTTTTGCAAGAGGATACATATCCACTGCTCCCTGGCCAGGCCCATCCTGAACCCAGCAGCTGTGAAGACGACGCCCTCCTGGCCAAGCCAGGAGGGCGTGGCACATACACCGCTGCTGGGTTCAGGATGGGCCGACCCAGAAGGACGTCGACGACGACATCGACGACGACCACGACGACAGAGACAACGATGAGTTGATGATCCTGCCACAGGCTCGGGACATGGGGCGGGCGGTGAAGGGAGGAGAAGGATGAGCATGAGTATGAGGATGCTGATGAGGATGAGGATGAGGGTGATGATGCTGCTGTTGTTGTTGATGATAATGACGATGATGACGATGCTGATGCTGATGCTGCTGATGATGATGATGATGATGATGATGGTGGTGGTGGTGGTGGTGGTGGTGATGATGAATGATGATGAGATGATGATATGATGAAGATGATGATGATGATTGTGCTGATGATGTTATGTTGAGATGATGATGATGATGATGATGATGATTATGATGATGATGATGATGATGATGAATGATGGGAAAATGATGGGAGGAGGAGAGAGAGCGCGCGATACCCCTCGTAAGTTCTCCTCCTCCTGCTGCCGGCGCCTTCTGCTACCCTTCTTAGGTTTCTCTTCTATCTTCCTTTCTTCTTCTTGGGCTTCTTTTGTTGCTTCCTTCCTTTTCCCACGTAGGATTTCTTCTTAGTCCCGGGCCGCTATACTCGTAGACCATCCCCGAACGCGCGCAGGGCCTCACCGTGGGCCGCGATCGTCATCCCCGTCGTCGTCGTCGTCGTCGTCGTCGTCGTCGTCGTCGTCGTCGTCGTCGTCGTCGTCGTCGTGGTCGTCGTCGTCGTCGTCCTCGTCCTCGTCCTCGTCCTCGTCCTCGTCGTCGTCCTGATCGTCGTCCTGATCGTCGGCGTCGTCGTTGTCGTCGTCGTCGTCGTCGTCGTCGGCGTCGTCGTCGTCGTCGTCCTCGTCGTCGTCGTCGTCCTGATCGCCGTCCTCGTCGTCGTCCTCGTCGACGTCCTCGTTGTCCTCGTCGTTCCAAGTCGCGAAAGGCTCGGAGCAGCGACTGCTCCGGTATGGCCTCGGCACTGGGCCCAGCGAGCAGCGGCAGGCCACTGGGGCTGGCGGCAGCGGCGATGATGGGGCGCGCAGGGGATCCCGTGGCGGTGCGTTGTGCGCCTTGGCGTTGGCCCCCCAAAGTCCAGCGAAGCCTGCTCGAGTTGGCACGAAGTGGAGGGGAAAGGGGAAGGGGAAGGACTCAGAGGCTCCCGAATCTCCCAATCACAGGTTTAGGCCCTCCTGCTGGAGGTTGGATCTCTTGTACAGACAAAGTCTATTGTAAGGATGATTTGCTTGGTCAAGGTTACCTTTCCACCTTTCCATCCTTGCCTCTTCGGAGTATCCTGAGTCATAGATCCTAGAGTGGTTGGCCCGATACCGCTCCAATTGTTTCCTCTTGGACGTTCGCGGGTCCAGCACCCTTGCCTAGTACTTCGCTGTATATTCTGGCTGCAGAGGGGAGGGCGGGTTAGGAATGCCCCGCCTCCTGGCGAGGACTCCAAGGAGGGGCTGGCGCAGGACAAGGAATTCTTGGCCGAGCTGCAAAAGAGCTGCGGCAGCAAAGGAAAGGAGTGGGAGGATCGCGTCAAGGCTCCCTCCTCCTCCTCCGTGTCCTCTTCCTCCTCTTCCTCCTCCTCCTTCTCTGAGTCGTTTTCCTCCAATTCCCTCCTCGTCTTCTCCCCTCCTCCTCCTTCTCCTGTTCCTCCCCCTCCTCCTCCTCCTCCTCCTCCTCCTCCTCCTCCTCCTCCTCCTCCTTGTCCCTCTACCTCCTGCTCCCTCCTCCTCCTCCTCCTCCTCCTCCTCCTCCTCCTCCTCCTCCTCCTCCCTCCACCTCCTGCTCCTCTCCCTCCGCCTCCTCCTTCCTCCTCCTCCTCCTCCTCCTCCTCCTCCCTCCTCCTCCTCCCCTCTCCCCACCCCCTCGCCCCCTCCTCCGCCTCAATCCTCCTCTCCTCCTCCTCCTCCCTCCCTCCTCCTCCTCCTTCCTTCCACCTCCACCTTCTCCTCCTCCTCCTCCCCCTCTCTCCCCTTAGCCTCCTACCTCCTCCTCCTCCTCCTCCTCCTCGCTTCCTCCTCCTCCTCCCTCCTCCTCCTCCACCTCCTCCTCCTCCTTCCCCTCCTCCTCCTCCCCCTTGTCCTCCTCCTCCCTCGCTCCCTCCTCCTCCTCCTCCTCCTCCTCCTCCTCCTCCTCCTCCTCCTCCTCCTCCACTCCTCCTCCTCCTCCTCCTCCTCCCCCTCCTGCCCTCCCCCTCCTCCTCCACCCTGCCTCCACTCCTCCTAACCTCCTCCTCCTCCTCCTCCTCCTCCTCCCACTCCTCGCAGCCTTCAACGCCGTACCCTATTCGGCGGGAGTCGGCCCCTTTGCGCACGACTGGCGCTAATCTCGTCTCGTTCTACACCTTTCCCTTCCCCCTCCTTCCGAGACAATGGCACGGCAGGGACTGTGTCTGGTGTTATGCGTTATGCGCTTTCATGCATCTGCGTAGATGACGGCCCTCGGGGACCAACTTTGTCCACCATTGACAGCGAAAATATCACTCGCGTCACGCTTTGTGTAGAGCGTTGTGTGGTGGAGTGCTGTAGCGTCCTTGCCGCCAGGTGCGCCAGGAGGAGACGGTGGCGCTGGCCGAGACGATCAAGATTTTGAACGACGACGATGAGGGGAGGGGCATAGCATTTGAGGATAGTATTGACAGTGCCGGGCAATTTAGTATCTCCCGCATGCATGTCGTTGTGTGAGGCGACCGATCCACGATCGATTACGTAAACAGCAGCTTTGGGCTGTCATGTGTCATGCTGTCTCTGGTTGTCGTGTATTGTTTCTCGTGGTACTATCGTCTTCCCATCGAGAGCGCGCAATGTAGGGCAAATCATGGAGCTTTTCTCAGAAGTCATACACACATGTGACCATGGCCCATCGCCCGTTTGATCGCCGCCAAACAGAGTAGGAGGAGGAGCAACTTGAGGAGGAGGAGGAGGTCGATGCTCATGTTATTGATGCTGTTGTTGTGATGATGCTGCTGCTGCTGATGATGATTCTGATGACATCTGATGACGCTGACGATGATCATGCCGCTGCTACTGCCGATGATGATGATGCTGCTGATTATGATGATGATGATGATGATGATGATGATGATGATGATGATGATGATGATGATGCTGATGATGCTGATGATGATGATGATGATGATGATGCTGGTGACGACGATGCTGCTGCTTCTGATGATGATGCTGCTGATGATGATGGTGGTGATGATGATGACGATGCTGATGGTGGCGCTGATGATTCTGATGACGATGATGAGACGATGACTGATGATATGCTGCTGCTTCTGATGATGATGATGCATGATCTGATGCTGATGATGGTGATGATGATGATGATGATGATGATGATGATGATGATGATGATGATGATGATGATGCTGATGATGCTGATGATGATGATGATGATGATGATGCTGGTGACGACGATGCTGCTGCTTCTGATGATGATGCTGCTGATGATGATGGTGGTGATGATGATGACGACGGAGGTGGCGATGAAACTTCTGATGACGATGAAGACGATACTGATGATACTGATGGTGATGATGATGATCATGCTGATGCTGATGACGGTGATGCTGCTGATGGCGATGATGCTGATGCTGATAATGATGCTGATGATGATGACGATGATGCTGCTGATGATGCTGATTACGCTGATGATGATGCTGATGATGATGATGATGATGATGATGATGATGATGCTGATTCTCACGATGATGCTGCTGCTGATGATGATGCTGAGGATGATGGTGCCGATCATGATGATGGCAATGCTGACGATGCTGATGACGATGCTGCTGATGCTCATGCTTATGCTCACGACGACGACGACGGTGATGATGATGCTGATGGTGTTGCTGCTGATGATGGTGCTTACGGTGATGATGACTACGATGGTTATGTAGTTGTTGCTTGTGGTGATGGTGATGATGCTGCTAATGATGATGCTAATGATGATGATGGTGATGATGATGTTGATGATGACGATGCTGATGGTGGTGATGGTGTTGCTGCTGCTGACGATGATGATGATGATATAACTGCTGATGAGTATGATGATGATGTTGACCATGATGAGGAGGAGGAAGATGATGCAGATGTGAATGACGATGATGACGACGACGATGATGATGACGATTCTGGTAATCATGGTGCTGCTGATGATGTCTCCGGCGTTTATGATGAAGATGATGATACTGATCATGATGATGATGCTGATTATGATGATGATGCTGATGTTGATGATGATTGTGCTGATGATGACGATAAGGATGATACTTTTGCTGATGATGCTGATGCTGATGTTGATGCTGATGATCGTGATGATGCTACTGATGTTGATGCTGATGATTCTGATGATGCTGGTGATGATGATGCGGATGATGCTGATGCTGATGAAGATGATGATGGTGATGAGGATGAGGATGAGGATGATGGTGACGATGATAATGGTAATCATAATGGTGATGATGATGGTGATGGAGATGGTGATTGTGATATTGATGGTGATGGTGCTGATGGTGATGGTGATGGTGATGATGATGCTGATGATGATGATGATGATCACGGGGATGGTGATGGTGATGGTGATGGTGATGATGATGATGATGATGATGATGATGATGTTGGCGATGGTGATGGTGATGGTGATGGTGATGGTGATGATGCTGATGCTGATTATGATTATCATGATGATGATGATGATGGTGGTGGTGATGATGATGATGATGATCGTGATGGTGTTGGTGATGATTGTGATCGCGATGGTGATGATGATGATGATGATGATGGTGATGGTGATAGTGATGGTGATGGTGATGGTGATGGTGATGGTGATGGTGATGGTTGTGCTGATGATGGTGAGGATGGCGAATGTGATTATGATAATGATGCTGATGATGATGAGGGTGATAATGGTGAACGGTGCTGGTGATGGTGATGGTGATTGTGACGCTGATGGTGATTGTGATAATGCTGATTCTGCTGATGATGATGGTGATGGTGATGTTGATGGCGGTCGTTATTATTATGATGATGATGATGATGATGATGATGATGATGATGATGATGATGATGATGATGATGATGATGATGATGAAGGTGATGATGATGAAGATGATGCTGATGATGATGATGGTGATGCTGATGATGATGATGATGCTCATGATGATGCTGATGATGATGGTGATGATGATGATGATGTTGATGATGATGTAATGATGATGCTGCTGATGGTGGTGGTGGTGATGACGATGATGGTGATGGTGATGGTGATGATGATGGTGGTTGTGGTGATGATGATGGTGATCATGATGATGATGAGGATGATGATGATGATGCTGATGATGATGATGATGATGGTGATGATGGTGACGATGACGGGGACGAGGAGGGGGAGGAGGAGGATGAGGAGGAGGAGGAGAAGGAGGTGGAGGACTGTGGAATGAGAGGCGGAGGAGGAGGAGGCGAAGGAGGAGGAGGAGGATGAGGAGGAGCAGGAGGAGGAGAAGGAGGAGGAGGAGGAGTCGGTGGTGGTGGTGGTGGTGATTGTGTTGGTGGAGATGATGATGTTGATGATGATGTAATGATGATGCTGGTGGTGGTGGTGGTGGTGGTGATGCTGATGCTGGTGCTGATGCTGATGCTGATGCTGATGCTGATGCTGATGCTGATGATGTTGATGATGATGATGATGCTGCTGATGATGATGCTGCTGAAGATGATGATGCTGATGATGATGATGCTGATGATGATGATGGTGGTGGTGATGATGATGATGATGATGATGATGATGATGTTGATGATGCTGATGCTGATGCTGATGCTGATGCTGATGCTGATGCTGATGCTGATGCTGATGCTGCTGATGATGATGATGATGATGAGGAGGAGGTGGAGGACTGTGGAATTTGAGGAGGAGGAGGAAGAGGAGGATGAGGAGGAGGAGGAGGAGGAGCAGGAGGATGAGCAGGAGAAGGAGGAGGACGAGGAGGCCCAGGCGATATCTTTCAATGGGCCCTCCGAGTTGCGCCCAGAGCGGGGAGCGGATGGTGGGCAGGCTCTCGACCTGTTTAAGAAGACGCTCCCACCCCCTGGCGACAGCCTGCTGCAGGCACTCCGAGGAGGATGAGGGTGATGAGGGGGACAACCGCGTAAACTACACCTCCTCCTCCTCCGTCTCCTCGTCCTCCTCCTCGCCCTCGTCCTTCTTACGATGACGCTGTGCGATTCTGCTGCAAGATTCCGCGCGCGGACTCGCCTCTTGCCGGTTGGTTTGCTTGTTGCAACTCGTGGGCATCATCGTTTGCAGGGGAGCGCGCTTGTCGGGAACAGCAACACGTCAGGCCCCCCGAGGTGGGGTTTTCCAAGCAGGGGGGCGCCCAACGGGGGCTGGCGAGGCGCGGCCGCCGCCGCATCGCCGACCGCGTTCGGACATTCGCCAGGCGATGCCGACGGCAGCATCCAAGCAAGCCGCGGGGGTCGCCCGCTCTGGGCGACGCGGCGGCGCGCGGCGGCGAGCCGAACGCGCGGGCCGCGCGCGACGCCTCGGACGCAAGTGGGCCCTGGGGCTGCGGCCCCAGCGCGGGCCGTGCCGCCGCGGGAGCCGCGCGCGCTGAGCCTCCGCGCGCGCTGAGCGCGCGTCCTCCGCCGCTCCCGACGATACGCGCGCGCCACCCCCAGCGCGACCTCAGGCGCAGCCCCCAGCGCGACCCCCAGCGCGACCTCCTCGGCTTCTCACGCGTTTTCGCTTTCCTCACTCTTGCGTGTGTCGCCGTGTAGTTGCACGTCCCGCGCTTGCGGATGACGTGCCAGTTTTCCACGTTGACGCGTGTCCTTGTTTCGCATGCATTCTGATGTCTGGTTTCCAAACGGCTGTGTCCACCGTTCTTTTTTGGTGTGGTAATGTGATGCAGTCGGCAATGTTTTCCATGTGATGTGTTGTGTTGCTTCCACGCGGGAGTTTGCAAATCATGCGCATCGTCTCCGAGCACGTACGTCTTGGTTGCGGTATCCAAGTTCGAAATTATTCCTTTCCCCAGAATGGCGTGCATGCGCTTGGGTTTTGCATTGTCGTTGTCCGTCGACGTGAGTGGTGTCCATGGAACCGTTCAAACAGACGTATCAGTCGTTACATTCGTTTCTTCTGCGCCCTTCATGAATACATGAGCACGTGCGCGCGCCGCGGATTTGGCTCAAGGGACCTGTAAAGGGGCGCCCGTCTCTTTTAGCACGTGCGCATCACCACCGCTATGTCGTACAACATCGTTAATGGATCCATTGACTTAGGAGATGAGAGTAAAGAACAAACGCAGTCGTCAGGTAATGTTGATTATTTGACAAAGCAGGGATTGTAAGCCGAATATTTGGTGGATAGAGATCCTGACGATGCGCGCCCTGGCAAACGGATGATGATGATGATGATGATGATGATGATGATGATGATGATGATGATGATGATGATGATGATAATGATGACGATTATGATGATGATGATGATGATGATGATGATGATGATGATGATGATGATGATGATGATGATGCTGAAGATTATGATGATGGTGATGATGATGATGATGATGCTGATGCTGATGATGATGATGATGATGATGATGATGATGATGATGATGCTGATGATGGTGGTGGTGGTGGTGGTGATGATGATGGTGGTGATGATGGTGGTGATGATGATGATGATGATGGTGGTGGTGGTGGTGGTGGTGATGGTGATGGTGATGGTGATGATGATGATGATGATGATGATGATGATGCTGCTGCTGCTGCTGCTGCTGATGATGATGATGAGGAGGAGGAGGAGGAGGAGGAGGAGGAGGAGGAGGAGAAGGAGGAGGATGAGGAGGAGGAGGAGGATAATCAGGCGACGGAGGTGGAGTCCTGAGGAATGCTTGGGTAATCTGGCGTGTACCAGAGTATTTGTTGTTTCCTGATCCCCCCTCCTGGGCGCGTGCCGTGCCCGTCGTGTGTCTCATGGAGGGGGGAGGGCTGATGAAAGGGCGGACTTGGAGTAGGAAGCGTTTTGTTTCCCGCAGAACGCATAGGATAACGTTTCAGCCTCCACTGAGCTCCAGTAGTCTTTCACTTCCACAAAAATGCCCTCTAACAGTGAACCACCGTTTTTCTTTTGGCGCGGGGAAGTCAGCGAGGGAGAGCACAAACGTAGCGAAAGGCAGGAGGAAGAGGAGGAGGATGAAGAGGAGGAGGAGGAGGAGGAGAAAGAAGATGAAGAGAAGGAGGTACGCAGAGCTATGCGCACGCATACCGCCACAAACACGCAAAAGCGCACGCGCGAACTCAGCGTGCACCCCTCGATCCCGAGAGACTTTACAATCTCCTGCTCTCGAGGAAGAGGCTGGAATAGGACCAGGAGGGGGAGGGGGATAGAGATGGATGAACGGAGGAGGGAGGAGGGAGGTGAAGGAGGGAGGGTGAGGATGAAGAGGGGCAGGAGGATGCGGAGGTAGGAGGTGGAGGGAGGAGGTGGAGGGAGGAAGGCGGGAGGGAGGAGTCGCTCTTGATAGTCGCGCCTCGCCCCTCTGCCGGCCCCTCTGCCAGCAAGGTGAAAGTCAGCCAGGCGGAGGTGCGGGCACGCGCCAGGAAGATCCTGTTGAAGGCTGCGAGTGGGATGGGGAAGGAGCAGGGGGAGAAGCAGGATCGAGGAGTGAGGTTCGTGGGTTTTTGGTCTGGCATGTTTTTGGCGTTCACAGACATCCAGGGGAGGAGGAGGAGGAGGAGGAGGAGGAGGAGGAGGAGGAGGAGGAGGAGGCGGAGGAGGAGGAGGAGGAGGAGGAGGAGGAGGAGGAGGAGGAGGAGGAGGAGGAGGGAGGAGAGGAGGAGGAGGAGGAGGAGGAGGAGGAGGAGGAGGAGGAGGAGGAGGAGGGGAGGGGAGGAGGGGGAGCGATGTGAGGAGGAGGAGGAGGAGGAGGAGGAGAAGAGGCCCATCACATCTCTGTGCCGTGAAAAGGGGCTCTTAGCGGACGTTTGATTTTCTAGACCCGCTCGGTTCGAGATGCCCCGAGCAGTCACGCACAAAGACGGGGTCGAGAGTTCCAGTCGTGGCGTTTTACGACTTCATGGTTCTGTCACCACGCTGGGCGTCAGGGGGGAGAGGTGGGTTTGAAGGAGGAGGAGGCGGACGAGGTGCCGGAGGAGTAGCAGTGCGTATGCAGAAGACCTTGCTAATGTTGTGGTGCATTTTTGAAGAATGTATGCAAGGTGTTCCGCAAGCGGACGCTTCTTCTGCTGCATGTTTGCCACCACGTGTGTGGGCTCTGAGTCGCGAGTCACGTGTCGAAGACAGCCTGGCGAACCAGGTTCCACTACCAAAGCGAACTGATCAACGCCCTCGAAGTTTTTGACGGAAATGAATGAGAACAGTACGATGAACACATCCCAACGATCCGTTACACCGCTACGCGTATGATTTAAGGGCCCATGATGGCTTGAGCCCGAAGTGCGATGGAGACTGTACTCTCCCTTGCCTTCATCGCAACTCCATTGCGTCTGATAAATTTGTCGCGCGAATCCGGTTCCGTCGTCTCCGTGGTGGCCACGGTGGATCTTCTTCAAGTCAGAGCTCGGGGTCCCTATCGGGAAATCGGTTTCGTGGCTCCAATGTCTGGTTTCTCTTCATCGCTCGCGAGAAATCGGTTCCGTGTCTCTCGTTCGTTCTCTCATGGCCACCCACAGGAAGATTTTTGTAGTCACGCAAAGGTAGCGGTAATGACAACGATGATTGGCGGCGCTCCGTTGCCCTCCACTCCTGACAAAACTAGGTTTGCGTATGGACAATATCCAGGAAAGTCACTCACGAAGCCATCATCATCCGCGAGAAATGTGTGTTCGCGTTTCTCAACCCTCCTCCGCCATCTTCGTCGCCCGCGGGAGGTCTACTGGAAGCAGTACTCCAGGATGTGTCGATCCAGCTGGACCTGAAAAATGGCAAAGTCGATCTGAATTTCCCAGCAGGCAAAAACTGGGCGAAATGCGCCGGACGATGAGATCGGCGAGTCCTATTCGAAAACGTTCAGGTCGTTCTGACAATGCCCAGGTGCCCCCGTGTATGAACTTTCATAGCCCGGTGGCGGTGTCCGATGATAATGCTCTGTTTTTGTTTCGGTCGACCTGAACGGGTTGCCCTTCTCACAGCAACAATGGAAGACACGCGCCAGCGGAAGATTTTGAGGGCCGATCTTGCAATTTTCAGGTCGATGAAAACGTGTTGGGGTGCCCCCCTTGTATGAAGTAATGCAGTCGGGTCTCATTTTCCGAATTATATTCGAACGGGGACCTCAACGGACCTGAAAATGTGGCCCCGGGGCGGCTGCGGCCCAGTGGACCACTGTCGTTATCGATGACCGTACGGGGCTCCGTTTGCCTAACGGGGGCTCCCGTACCTGAATGTAGCTGCCTGGACTCAGTATGGCTGCTAGAAACACGTTGTATGCCATACTAGTTACACTTTCCTTACCTCCTGCATTGTTGGGGGGTGGTACTCTACAACTGGGCAGCAAGCATATCTCTGTTCGGCTCAACTTTGCGTCGAAGGGGATCGGGGCCTGCGGAAGAAAAGCTCGCTCCAATTATGAGAGCTTATTGCCAGAACATGCTGAGCGTGGAACGGTCTGCAACGTTCTCGCAAAACCTTCGCTATATGCTGGCAATACGTTGTTGGTATAAGCCTCGAGGGAGGAGGATGAGGAGGAGGAGGAGGAGGAGGCGGAGGCGGAGGCGGAGGAGGGAGGAGGAGGGGATATAGCGGTGGCTCCCTACTGGGGCCGCCATCGGAGGAGCGGAAAGCGGAAAGAGAGATAAGGATGGGGGCGGTTCGAGTGTGCTCTAGATGGTCTCACGGCGTTCGAGGGAGGAGGAGGAGGAGGAGGAGGAGGAGGAGGAGGAGGAGGAGGAGGAGGTTGAGGAGGAGGAGGAGGAGGAGGCGGAAGAGGAGGAAGGGAGGAGGAGGGGGAGGGGGAGGGGAGGAGGAGGAGGAGGAGGAGGAGGAGGAGGAGGAGAGGAGGAGTTGGTGGAGAGGATACTGATGATGATGATGATGATGATGATGAAGAGATGATGATGATGATGATGATGATGATGATGATGATGATGATGATGATGATGAGGATGATGATGATGATGATGCTGATGATGATGATGATGGTGGTGGTGGTGGTGATGATGATGATGATTATGATTATGATGATGATGATGACGATCATGATGATGATGATGATGATGTGATGATGATGATGATGCTGATGATGATGATGATGATGATGATGATGATGCTGATGATGATGATGATGATGATGATGATGATGATGATGATGATGGTGATTGGTGATGGTGATGGTGATGGTGATGATGATGATGCTGATGATGATGATGATGATGATGCTGATGATGATGATGATGATGATGATGATTATGATGATGATGATGATGATGTGATGATGATGATGATGATGGTGGTGGTGGTGGTGATGATGATGATGATGATGATGATGATGATGATGATGATGATGATGATGATGATGATGATGATGAGGATGATGAGGATGATGAGGATGATGAGGAGGAGGAGGAGGAGGAGGAGGAGGAGGAGGAGGGAGTGAAGAGGGATGAGGAGCAGGGAAGAGGAGGGGGTACGAGGGAATGAGGAAGAGGAGGCAAGGGAGGAGGCAGGGAGGAGCGGTGTGTGTGTGTGGGGCACACAAGAAGGATCCGAGCCCCGTTCTCCGCCGGGCGAGGCGCGCCTTCCGCCTCAGCGCGCGCCTGCGCTCCCCCTCTCGGGCCTGGGCCTCCGTGCCGCAGGCGGCCCACGGCGCCCAGCACGGCTCCGGCGTGCTTGCCGGCTTCGTGGCGCAGGCGCTGCATGGCAAGAAGATCGGCTTCGACAAGGCCGCCCGGTGCGAAAGGCGGTCGGACGGTGGAGGCAGGGAGGAGGAGGATTACAAGGAGGGTGGAGGAGGCAGGGAGGGAGGGAGAGAGGGGGGGAGGGAGGGAGGGAGGGAGGGAGGGAGGGAGGGAGGGAGTGCAGCCAGAGGAGGAGGAGGAGGAGGAGGAGGAGGAGGAGGAGGAGGAGGAGGAGGAGGAGGAGGAGGAAGAGGAGGAGGCGGGGGAGGAGGAGGAGGAGGAGGCGGAGGAGGGAGGAGGAGGGGAGATAGCGGTGGCTCCCTACTGGGGCCGCCGTCGGAGGAGCGGAAAGCGGAAAGAGAGATAAGGATGGGGGCGGTTCGAGTGTGCTTTAAATGGTCTCACGGCGTTTCAGCTTAGTGGTTCTGGGCCGTCCGTCCTGGAGGACCTTTGGACCTGGTTGTTTTGGGGCTTGGACGGTGCCAGGCTGGCGCCAGGCCGCAGCCAGGCTGGACGTCGGCCTGGCGAGGGCCAGAGCGATCGACAAGGCCAGGCCGCGGCCTGGCCAGGGATTAGCCAGGGCCAGGCTGCCTACTCCTCGTCGGCCCTATTGACCGAAGAAGATTTGAAGTGACTCCCGATGTTGACTCGTAGTTGTTTCCTCCCTCTCTGAAGGCCAACAAGCCAAGCTTTAGGTTGACGCAGACAGTTCAACTGTCTACTCTCATCGCGGTGGGCCCGCTTGACATCCTCTGGTGATCTGGGTGCTGAACACACTGATGATTCACATAGTCGGAAACGGAGGTGTCGTTCGTGACAGCGGTGCTACCCTTTGTGGTTGGTTGTGGCAAGTCGTGATGAGGATAGCCAGCCACACGTCGAAACGCTGCAGACGGACAACACCAGGGGTGCCCGAGAAAGTGACATACCCAGTCCAATACCAGAAGGGTGCGCGACAGGCTTCAACGCGGGTGCACATTATTTCTCGTATCTTCCATTTGCGTGGAGCTGTTTGGCAAGTGATTGCTGATCAACCGGAAGTCTCGCCAGAGCTCGACTTCGGCGCGGTGGCTCAGCGTCCACGCGACGTTGTATTGTCGTCTTGAGACCAGCCTTCTCTGGCGTTCGGCCCCAGCTATGGTCGCCTCAAAAGAGGGGGCTTCGCAGGTGCATTTTGACTTCGTTGCCGTGTCCGAGTGCGAGTCCGGTAGCTTGGCCCCGACGGCCGTGGAGGCCAGGATGGGCTTGTCGAGCCTGGTGTCCCACGAGCGCCTAACAGCAGGGGTGGCCCCGCTGTCGCCCTTCGTGGCCCCCTCGCTGCCCTTCGTGGCCCCGTTGCTGCCCTCAGTGGCCCCGTCCTTGCCCTCCGCGGCCCAATATCCTTATGCCCTTCGTGGCCCCTGCTCGTTCTCGCCCGTCGTGGCCCCATGTGCATGCCTTTCGTGGCCCCGCTCTCGCCCTTGAGGCCTCCTCGCTGTCCTATGTGGCCCAGTTGCTACCCTCAGTGGCCCTGTCGTTGCCTTCTGTGGCCCCGCATTATCTGCCCTTCGTGACCCCCCGCTCGTTCGCGCTCTTCGTGGCCCCATACGCATTCCCTTCGTGTCCCCGCTGTCGCCCTTCGTGGCCTACTTCGCTGCCCCTCGTGGCCCTGCTGTCGTTCTCTCTCGCGCTCGCTCTCGCTCTCGTTTTCGCTCGTCGTCGTCGTCGTCGTCGTCGTCGTCGTCGTCGTTGTCGTCATCGCCGCCGTCGTCGTCATCGTCGTCGTCGTCGTCGTCGTTAAAATGATTGTTGTTGAATGTTAATTACTAAACAATCACTATTGTTGGACCGCCCCAGGCGCTTTGGCGCTTTCGCCTCGGCGCCGGCTACATTTTCATTGAAAATTAGGCTCACGCTCGAGCGTTTTGGGGGGCGCCAAAACCGACCCCCCAACAACAACAACAACAACGTTCCCGCTTGAGACTTCTTCCTTTTTTGCTCAAGGCCGGTGCGCTCGCTCGCCGCCGAAAGCCGCCGTCCCAAAAAAACCAGCGCTCCCCCTCGAGACTTCCTCTCGTTTTACCTTGGACGTGCGCGCTATTATTTCTCTCATCGGTGCCGCCCCCAGCAACAACAACTCTCCCGCTCGAGACTTCCTCATTTTTTTGCTCAAGGCGGTGCTCCTCCTCGCCGCCGAAAACCGCCGTCCCGACAAAACCAGCGCTCCCGCCGGAGACTTCCTCCTGTTTTACGCTGGATTGGCGCCCTACTCTCTTTTGAATTGGCGCCGCTCCCAGCAAGAACAACGCTCCCGCTCGAGGCTTCCTCCCTTTTTCCTCAGGACGGTGCAGTTCCTCGCCGCCGGCAGCCCCCGTCACGACAAAACCACGGCTCCCGCTCGAGGCTTCCTCCCTTCTTACTCGAGGCGGTGTTCTTCCTCGCCGCCGACAACCGCCGTCCCAACAAAACCAGCGTTCCCGCTCGAGACTTCGTTTTGTTCTACGCTGGACTAGCGCCCTACTCTCTTCAGCATTGGCGCCGTTCCCAGCAACAACAGCGGCCCTGCTCGAGACTTTCTTCCTTTCTATTCAGGGCCAGGGGTTTGCCTCGCCGCCGACAGCCTCCATCCCCACCAAGGCAATCCTGTCGTTCGATAACTTCCTTGTAATTTACCCTTGGCTGGGGCTCCACTGGCGGTCTCGCATCGGCGCAGCAATGCGCGGGCGTGTGTTTTCGAGGCGGGATATGTTGAAATTCCCCGGGGGAGGTGTTTGCAAGACCTCATTGGGCGGGACATCTGGGAATGGGAGTAACGGACCCCACTATGGAACAAGAGTCCTCCATGATGGGGATGGTTATCATGATGGTCGCATGCTTCGTGTGCGATCATCGGGGTAACATGATCGTTGTTGTTGTTGTTGTTGTTGTTGTTGTTGTTGGAAAAGGCGCGCGTGCGAGCCCCGGCCGCCCCCCCCCCCCCAGCAACCGAGCAACCGATCAACCCTCTCTGGGGGTCTCCTTGGGGCGCCAAGGATTCCCTAATATATGATTTCCCAGGAATTCTCTAGGCTTCCATAGGAATTCTATAGACCTCCTTAGGAATTCTATACGCCCCCATCGGAATTCTATAGTCCTCCATAGGAATCCATCCGATACAGACTGTATCGGATCTGTGTCGGATCCTATATAGTCTGTATCGGATCTGTGTAGGGACCCCATATAGTCTGTATCGGATCTGTTTAGGATCCCATACAGTCTGTATCGGATATGTATAGGATCCCATACAGTCTGTATCGGATCTGTATAGGATCCCATGCAGTCAGTATCGGATCTCTACAGGATCCCATACAGTCTGTATCGGATCTCTATAGGATCCCTTACAGTCTGTATCGGATCTGTATAGGATCCCATACAGTCCTGTATCGGATCTGTATAGGATCCTATACAGTCAGTATCGGATCTCTACAGGATCCCATACAATGTGTGTCGGATTTGTATAGGATCCTATACAGTCAGTATCGGATATGTATAGGATTCCATACAGTCTGTATCGGATCTGTATAGGATCCCATACAGTCTGTATCGGATGTGTATCGGATCCCATACAGTCTGTATCGGATCTGTACAGGGTCCCCTACAGTCAGTATCGGATCTGTATAGGATCCTATACAGTCTGTATCGGATCAGTGTAGGATCCTATACAGTCTATATCGGATCTGTAAAGGATCCCATACAGTCTGTATCGGATCTGTACAGGATCCCATGGAATCTGTATCGGATCTGTATAGGGTCCTATACAGTCTGTATCGGATCTCTACAGGACCCCATACAGTCTGTATCGGATTTCTGGAGGATTCCATACAGTCAGTACGGATCTCTACATGATTCGATACAGTCTGTATCGGATCTGTATAGGATCCTATACAGTCAGTATCGGATATGTATAGGGTCCTATACAGTCTGTATCGGTTCTGTATAGGATCCCATACAGCCTGTATCTGATGTGTGTAGGATCCTGTACAGTCTGTATCGGATATGTGCAGGATCCTGTACAGTCTGTATCGGATATGTATAGGATCCTATACAGTCTGTATCGGATATGTGTAGGATCCTGTACAGTCAGTATTGGATCTGTATAGGATCCCAAACAGTTTGTATCGGATCTGTACAGGATCCCATGCAATCTGTATCGGATCTGTATAGGATCCCATACAGTCCTGTATCGGATCTGTATAGGGTCCTATACAGTCAGTATCGGATCTGTATAGGACCCTATACAGTCAGTATCGGATATGTATAGGGTCCTATACAGTCAGTATCGGATCTGTATGGGATCCTGTGCAGTCTGTATCGGCTGTATAGGACCTCGTACAGTCTGCATCGGATCTGTATAGGATCCTATACAGTCTGTATCGGATCTGTGTAGGATCCTATACAGTCAGTATCGGATGTGTATCGGATCCTATACAGTCTGTATCGGATCTGTGTAGGATCCCATACAGTCTGTATCGGATCTGTATGGGATCCTATACAGTCTGTATCGGATCTGTATAGGATCCTACACAGTCTGTGTCGGATCTGTGTAGGATCCTGTTCAGTCTGTACCGGATCGGTATAGGATCTTATACAGTTTGTATCGGATCTGTACAGGGTCCTATACAGTCAGTATCAGATTTGTGTAGGATCCTATACAGTCAGTATCGGATCTGTATAGGATCCCATACAGTCGGTATCGGATCTGTCTAGGGTCCTATACAGTCTGTATCGGATCTGTTTAGGATCCCATAGAGTCGGAATCGGATCTGTCTAGGATCCTATACAGTCTGTATCGGATCTGTGTAGGATTTCATACAGTCTGTATCGGATCTCTATAGGATCCTGTACGGTCTGTACCGGATCTGTGTAGGATTTCATACAGTCTGTATCGGATCTCTATAGGATCCTATACACTCTGTATCGGATCTGTATAGAATCCCATGCAGTCTGTATCGGATCTCTAAAGGATCCCAAACAGTCTGTATCGGATCTGTATAGGATCCCATACATTCTGCAACGGATCTCTACAG